ACATGTGCTTCATGGGCATCCCAGGCAGTAACCACAGAGCAGCACTTTGTTACCTTTGCTGCCCAAACATGGCCAGTTTAGACTGGGGTGAGGCTGTTCACACATACAAAGGAAAGATATCATACACCCCTGGTAACACACAATACTTCCAGGTCTGTGTTCCCAGGAGTAATCTGAACAAGAAATGAGTTACCCTGAAACCTAAAGAAGTCACCTTATTTCAGGAAAACTAAGTACATTTTAGATACAAGTGGCAAACAACTACTACTACCCTCAGAGAGTACCCAGACTCTCCGTGAAAGAAAGAAGTGGAGAAAAAACGGGTTGGTGAGCCCAAAGGCAGGCCTAGGTAAAAGCAATTTCCAGAAGGTGGAGGTGTGCATAGTTTTGACCATTTGAAAGGGAATAAAATACAATTTTAAATGCAGGGGAAGAGTGAGGTTAATCTCTGAGGAAGTCTGATAGTCAGAAAGGCAGAGCACCACATAGACAAAAAAAAAAAAACAAAAAAAAAAAAAAAAAAAAAAAAAAAAAAAAATCCATCCAAGGGAACAGTGAGGAATACTTGGTCAGAAGAGCAGCAGGGTGGCAGAGGGGGATTTACAGGATGAAGATCCCTGTACAGAGATTCATCCCAGCTCTAGCAAGCATGGTCACAGGGCCCATGAAGGATGACACAAAGCAGTCCTGTTGCTGTTGCTGCCTCCCATCTGAATGCCTGAGAGGGCCACACTGGTGTGGCCTGTGAGCACACAGTGGGGTGCAGCTGCCTGTGATGTGAACACCACTCACAGTCACTCACTTGTAACTGCAGTTCTCTGAGCAATTTTGCACACGAGCCCTTCACCTCTCAGTCCTGCACTCTGTGAGTTGCTGCAGCTTAGAGGAACATAAGAAATGCCCTTTCCTCCCTCTCTGTGCAAGGCCACAGGAGAACACAAGGCATGGGGGCACCTGTGGATGCTGCAAAGAGAGCCCAGACTCTTTGGGCACAGATCTGAGTCTGTGTGCACCCACAGGCAGAAGGGAAAAAAAACAAACACTCAAAGCAGAAAACAACCAGTCACTTGTCACGTCACTAAAAAATCACTAGGGTGCTGCATAAGACTTTAAAATTCATTGATTTCTCTGTTAAATGTTTTCTGACTATTTTAACTTATCAGGTCCCCCAACACCTTCCCCACTCCCATGCCATTATAAGAAATCTCAGAAAATAGGTACTGGGCATATAAAAGCCCATGGACATAGAAAATTACTTCAACCACCCCAGATAGCTTGGGGACAAGGAAGGGTACCTACTAGGATGCTTGTTGGCTTCCCCCACACTCAGGTGCTGATTGCCATCCTGATTCCAAGCAGGTCCTGGGCGAGCCACAGATGAGGGAACAAAAATGGAACGAGGGTTCCAAATGGAGAAGGTGGCTGCTCATACCCAGGACAGCAGGGCAAAGAGCTTTGGTGGCATCAGGATTTCATTTTGGAGAACTGGATCCCTCTAGTGAAGTACTTAGTGCAGCCTCAGCACAAAGGGATGTGAGCTACTAGCAACTCCAGCCCTTATCCAAATAGGGTGAAACTCCCTGACCCTGGAGTTTGCACACAGATCTTAAGAACAAATATGAGAGCTTTGCTTCCAGGCAGGAAATCCCTTTTACCACACCTTTCTGATTTACACCAATGCTTGATACACACCACATGTGTCTTCCCCTTCCTTCACCCACATTCACAATGGTCCTGTTCCATATTTAAGTGATGAAAAGTTAAGACCTGTGGTTACAACTTCTATGAAAAGCTTCATTTTGAAGACTGCTACATTTCAATTTTATTGCCATGAGGAAAACTGAAAAAAAAAGCCAAAATATTTCAGTCCTTCCTTAACATGAAAGCTGTTGTGAAGACATTTAATAAGCAACTGTAAGTTCTCTCCTGCAAGTTGTTGAAATATGAAAGGTAGGGAAATTTATTCTTACAAATGTTTTGTATGAGCCCCATCCACAGTTTTATGCCCCACACTTAATTTCCACTGTACAAGGTGTATGTGGCAAGTTTTGTCAGCATTTTTTTCCTGAAGTGCATCTCAGCAGGCAAAGATTACAACAAACCCTTCGACTGAGATTTGTTACAAGAAAAACAAGGAATAACATCGGGATTACCCCAGCTAAGAGAGCAAGTGAAAGAGCACAAAAACTTACCCACCTGCCTGCGTGTGGGAATAGAAAGACATTCATCTCAGAGAGGTTATGTAGGGAAACAGCAGGAGTGAGAGCCACTAAAAAACTGGCAAATGCATCTGCTTTTTCCATTCTGGACTGCTGCTGACTAGATCTCTGTAAAATTTCCTCTGTTCCACAGACCTGCCCAGTGGGATCTGTCTGGCATTAATTGGCCTTCAAAATTACTTATGGAAAAATCTTATGCTAATTTTTGTAAGTTGTCGAGTATGGAAAAAAAAAATAAGCTCATTTCTTTAAAAAAAGAAACAAACTAAGCAAGAAACAAAAATCAATACATTCGTGCATGTGGACATCGTATTCTGCTTCTTAATAGAAATGCCTTAGGACGGAGATACGGCTCTAAATTTTCTACTCAGTTTCTTTGTGTGAATTATGGGCCGCGAAAGGTGAAAGCCTTTTGTGTACTGAGGTCCGATGGGGAGAAGGGCAGACGGCGAAAGGGGAACAGCGGAAAGGCGGGGGCCAGGCGGTGGCTGGAAAGAGCTCGGATGGCCGAGCGGTTCGGAGGGCGAGCAGCCCCGGCCGGGCACCGGCACGCGGGACCGACGGTCACCAAGCCCGGAGGGACAGCGGGGAGCCCAAAGGGCTGCGGCGGGCGCAGAAACGCGCACAAGGCGAGGTCCGTGAGGAAAGGCAGGGCTCCCGAGAGCCGCGGGAGAAGCGGGACGCGGCATCCCGGGGCTCCCATGGCCCCGCCCGGAGCCGCGGCAAAGCCTCCTCGGCCGCCGGCGCTGCCCGCCCGGGGCTCGGGGGCAAAGGGAGACGGAGGACGCAGTGGGGCGGGCGAATACGAAAAGTCCCGCTCCCCAGTGCTGGTCTTTTGTTCCCGGGGGCCGGCAGCCGCCGAATGCACCAGCAATGTGGGGAGCGAGCTCTAACGAGCTCCTCGGCTCCCCTCTCTCGGGAAAGAAAGGCTACGGGAATTCTCCCCTGCCCGGTACCCGGCGGCACCGTGCCCGGGCGCGACACGGCCCCGCCGGGCGCGGGCAGAGAGCGGGGCAGGCGGAGCGGGACCGCCCGGCTCCCGCAGCCCCCGCTGCAGCGCCCGCCCCCCGCCCCGGCCCCGGGGCTCACCGTCCTCGTAGTTCTTGAGGTAGTAGTCGGGGCCGGGCCCGCCGCGGCTCTTGGCCGGATTCTTCACGTTGTGGAACTGCAAAAAGTCCGTCCTCTTGCCCGCGAAGCGCAGGAAGGCGGGGGCCAGGCCCCGCGCCAGGGTCACCAGCCGCCGGGAGCTGGGGAGAGGAGAGAGAGGGCTGAGGAAGCCGCGGGCCGGGCCCTCGCTTCCCCAGGACCGCCAGCGACCGGGGACCACGGGGCTCGGGGAGCCGCCCCGCCCGCCGGTGGCGGCCCGGAGGCCGGCGGGCCCCGCTCCCCCCGTCCTGCCGGCGCCCTCCGGACAAGTGCAGCGGCGTCCAGGAGGCAGAGGCGCTCAACCCACCCGGGACCGTGCCATGGGCCGAGCCGCCGAGAGGGGAGAGGAGCGGGGAGGGGAGAGGAGCGGGAGCCGTCCCGGCTCCGCTTCTCTCGCGCCTTCCCGCATCCTCGCCCTGCTCCTTCCCCGGCTGCCGAAAGGACCCTCGGAGCGGGCGTGCGGAGGAGACCCGCTCTCCCCCGCCGACTTACCCAGCGGGGAGAAGGCTTTCTGGCCGTCCCAGCGCCTCCAGGCCGCGGCCGCTCCGCACCGCCGGTGGGACCCAGCGCAGCTGCAGCCCGGCTCTGCCCCCCGCGCAGGGCTGGAAGTCCGGGGAGCGGAGGGCTCAGAAGACCTGGCCGACACCCGCTCTCTGCCCGTCGGGACCCGGGGAAGGCTCGGCTCGGCAGGCGGCCCCGTTCCTGCTGCTGTTTTTTGTTCCATTTTGATTCCCCCCCCCCCACCCCCCCTCCCGCCCCGTGCTGCCTCGGCCCCGTGTTGTGCTTTTTGCAGAGGAGCGGTTGCTGGAGCGAGGGGAGCACGACATTTTTGCAGTCATAACTGATAAGTCTCCGAAATGTTTTCTCCATTGCAAACATGTGCATCTTAATGGAAACCATGGCCTCGCTCCCTCCGTCACAACAAGCGCCGCCAGCAGCGCGGAGCCCGGCAGGGCTGGGCGGCGGGGCCGCCGGGGCGCCCCGCGGGCGGCGTGGGGAGGGCGCCGGGGAGCTCCTGCCTTACCTTAAGAAATCGAGCCAGCCATCATGAATGATGGAGGGGTCCAGCTGCAGGGAGAGGAAATTCTCACTGATTATCCTGACAGGGCTCTTGGTGTTGACATCAAGGAGAATGAGAGTTCTTCCCTTCACACCTGGAGGTTTCTCCACCGGCAGTGCTCTCCTGTCCCCAGCCTGGGAAGGCAGCGAGAAGGTGGCCATGAGGGCCAGCCCAGGTGCCATCAGGGCTAAGAGCCCTGGGGGGCAGGAGCTGGGACAGGGCATGCCGGAGAGCAGGAAACCCCTAATTAACTCGGTGTCTGCAGGGGCTCGCTGGTGGCTAATTGTCCTTATCTAAAGTGTGGGGCGCTCTGCCTTTTTTTGCAATGTTTTGGTGTTGGTGGAGGGGAACTCACGCCCCTGACCAGCCTTTCTCGCAGCCGGTGCCAAGACTCCTTGCAGCCAGCACCGCCCCTTTAAGAGATGCAGGCTCCAGACATTTTTAACTTTTTGAAGGTAAGGGGAGGCTCCTGGTTTAACCCCCTCGGCTCGGGGCCCGCCGCCCTGCCGCAGCCCCGCCAGCGCCGAGATTTCGCTTTGCGCCGGCTCCAGCGGACGTTTTCGGCTCCCGCACGCAAAACCGGGACGGAGTCGGGACACCGAGACACCGGAGAGCTCGGGACGGGACCGGCGCGCGGAGGCCGGCCAGCACGGTTCGACATGGTCGCCGGTACAGAACGACAGAAACGGTAAAACAGCGAGGACGGCTCTGGCTGGGGAGGGGTGGTGTGGGGGGTGGTAATCACCCCGGAAAAAAACCCAAACACTACCTGAGGGAAGAATTACCTCCAAACTGCGCCGGGACCCGCGACGCAGGGCGAGGCCCTCGGGGCTGAGCGCTGGAGGCTCCGCGGGACCCGACGGGCGTGCGGGGCTGGGGGCCGCCGGCACCCCGGAGCCCCGGCACGGCGCGCTCGGTGCGCCCTGCCCGAAGCTGGGGCTCGGCCGGTCCTCGCACGACGGCCATCAGCACCGCGGGGAACCGGGGCACAGGGAATCGAGCCGCCGGTCTCCTTTTCCCGCCTGCCTCCGGGCCCATCGGTGTCCCACCAGCGGCAGGGAAAGAAGAAGGGCGGTAGCGGCAGTGCCTGGTGTGGAAACGTCCGCATCGGGGAGGGAAAGGACAGCACGGCTGGATGGCCCGACGAGGACCCCCGTGCCGGGGCCAGCCCTCCGTCGCTGCCTCCAGGACGGACCGGGCAGGACTGCAGGGCTCGGCGCACTGCAGAAGTGCAGGCGGCTGCGGTTGCCAGCTCTGGGCAAGGTCGTGGCACCGGGCCGGGGATCGGTGGCGGCAGCCGACAATCCCGGGAGCCTCAAAGAATGTCCATCCGAATCGGACATCCTCTCCGTCAGCAGCCGCTTCCCGGGCGAGCCTCGAACTCCCACAAGCAGTCCGCTCCCTCCGGGACACGTACCGCCCGAACCTGGGCTCTCGGCCGCCGTGGCCCGCACTAGTCCCGCGTCGCCCAGGCCATGCGGGACGCGGGGCCGCGGTGCCGTTGCCGGCCCGGCGACGGAGGGAGGACGGCGGGAGGGCTGAGCCGGGCCAGGTGCGGTCCGCCGGGGCCCCGCAGCCCCGGGGATGGGGCGGCCGCAGCACCATCTGCTGGTGAGGGGCCCGGCGCGGCGGGGGAGCCGGCACCCACCTGCAGACACCCTCGGCGCCGGATCGGGAGGGGTCGGGAGGTGCCGGGGCTGCGGGCAGCAGCGCGGCTTCGGGATCGAGGCATAAATCTCGCCGCAGGAGAGGCCGAGCGCCGGGGACCCGCCGGCCGCCCTCGGGGATGCCGGCGGGTCGGGTACGAGCGGCCCGGGCAGCCGGATCAGAGGCACTCCGAGCGCACGGGCAGCCCGCTCTGCCGGCAGAGCTGCCCGCCCTTGGGAACCCTCTCCAGCTTCTCCCGGGGTCCGTGCGGAGCCACTTGCACGCCCCGACCGCCCCAGTCAGGGCCCGAGGGGCGGCGGGAGCGGCCCCGGTGACCCGGCGGCAAGTCCCGGAGCTCGTGTTCGGCGGAGCCCCGCACAGAGGGGAAGCACTCGGCCTGGGCCCCGGTGAAGTCCGCGGTCAGCGCTGGCTGCGGCGGAATTCTCCACTCCCCCTGCCTCTCTGCCCTTGAAACGCTTGAAGACAAGAGGGGCAGCCACCCCTGCCAGTCCCGGCTCACCGCTGTAGCGGTACGGAGCCGCTGCGGTAACGCGTGGGGAAGGATGAAACGTACCTCTGGCTCTGCTCGGGGTGAGCAGGGAACCCACGAACTAGGATTTCCCGTGAAACCATCCCGCCAAAGCGGAGACGGGAGCAGGGCTCAAGCCGCCCCTGGGAAGGGGCTGCCGAGCGCAGCGCAGGCTGACCCAGAGCAGCAAAAGGGTGCCCGGGGCAGCGAGCTCTGAGCGCTGGAAAAAGTAAGAGGATCCGGGGAAAAGCGCTGTGCAATTTCAGCTGTGCAAAGCCCTGGCATCCCGGGACAGGAAGAAGGCAATTTAAGCCTGGAAATTTGTGTTCGGCTGCAAATACTTCTGCCGAGGTTTGCAGTAGCCCTTAAAACTGACCCAGGACTTTAAAGCCTCAGCTTCAGAAGCTACGCGGTTTTCTGGGTCATCTCCAAATGAGGAACACGAGTTTCAAAATTATCTCATTATTTTTCAATATTTTTTTTCTATGCTTTTAGAAGATAAGAGCAAGGCTTCGGGGATATTTGTTATGATTGCAGGCCGAAATATTGTACCGTGCCTCCCTCCAAGGATGGTTTTATTTTCAAACGAAATTCCAGAGTTTTCTGTAGTAAAAGGAAAAAAAAAAAAAAAACACAAACCAAAACTAAACAAATTATCCACTTTAACCTCATTTTAATATATTTTTTTACTTACAAACACATTACTTCGAAAGAGAAATGTGTTTATTCTGAAAAGTTCCCCACAATTAGTCTCTGCTTTGAACGTAAACTCCGGATGCACTGAAGTCACTTATCTGCAGAGATATCACCAACAACATGAAACAGCAGGGAAATAGGCAAAAATCCTCCCAGATGCCAGCGTCACCTTCCAGATTCTGGGAAGACGACGTTAAAGGAAATATTAATTTACCTGTCTGAGCTTTCCAAAGCAACACCGGGAGCTTGCCCCAGTCCTGCGCCCTCGGAAATGCAGTTGCACCCCACTTTGCATCTGACCCCAGCAGCTGCAAGTTAAATCTAAAAATACAGTGGTTTGGGCTTTTTTGTTTGTTGGCCTAATTATCAATAAATTGTAGGCTTGGTGTAGAAAACATTTAAACGCTAAGAATGACTCGGTTCCGCGAGCGCCGGGGCAGCAGCGGAGGCGCGGGGAGCCCCGAGAGCCGCGAGTCCCGGGAGCCGCCGCTGCCGCCCGGCGCAGCTCCGGGACGGCCCCGGAATCCGCCAAGAGCGGCCGCGGCCGCCTCCTCCCCAGCCAGGCACGCCAGATAGGAGGTATCTCAATTTACACCAGCTGCGACCCTGGCTCGCCGTCCGCAGGGCCGGCGAAGCGATGATCCTTTCTTATATTACGATAATTACTTTAGAAAGCCTGACTCACATAAAAAGTATCTATAAAGATTTACTCGCGGTTTTGTCAATTTCGAAATAGGTTTCTCCGTTTTCCATCTACTCTAAACTTGCTGGTTTTAATCTCCGAAACAGTCATTGGAAAAGAAAACTGGGGGAGGAGAAGCATTTCTATAAAGGGCTTAACCAAAACACATTAAATATTTTCCCAACATCACCAAATAAACAACAATTCTCCAGCTCCCTATAAACTATTTAAAGCATGCCATATCATCTCTTCTGCTCTTGCCAATGTACTTTTCTTTTAATTTACAAGCTGATTAGAGCAGGGGCCTGTCTTTTTGTATATATTTGTAAAATATTTGGCACCCTTTCAGTCAGTTGCAGTTCACAAACACTTGAAACTGCATTTAACTTCATTATTATAGGTAGTCACTTCGATTTTTCCTCTCTTTTGTAGAGCTACTGCCTGTGAAAGTGCTTCTTGTAAATGGTCTGAGCAGTTGCTGAAGGTTTGCAGCAGAGGAAACCTCTTCAGATGGAAAAAAAAAGAAAAAAAAAAAGAGGGAAGAAAAAGCACAACGGAAATCTAAACTCGGATCTCAGGCTATACAAATTGGCCCAAAAGAAAATGGGGGAAATCTCCTTAGGAGGAACATTTTTAGTTCACTAAAGAATAAACTTTGCCCATAAATGATGAAAGTTATTATCATCAGAGGATGTCCTGTACCAAACAAACCTCCATTAGGCTGGGAAGGATAAAACAGGCTAGACAGCCCTTAAAAAAAAAAAAATCATCATGTCTTTGATTCCCAAGATATCAACCATGTCTGTTTCTGTAGTGCTGTCAAGTAAATCTGAGTTATGGATGCTCTAAAAGAAGCCAGCAAGGAGAAAATTCAGCAAGTGAAAATTAAGAGTGTTATCCATACTTCACAAAAATACACTTTCTTTTCAAGCTCTTAAGCTTCTACCCTGTAGCGTGGTATGACAAACTGTGATCATCAGAGCATGCAATCGCATGACAGATTCTTTTTACTGAGCTTTTTGCTCTTTCTACAATGCAGTGTCCATCATTTTCACCACAAGAGCCTCAACGTCTGGAATGCAACCTCCTAAAACTGCCAGTGCCTCAAGGTGGGTGTCACAGCCTGAACTCCACTGCTGAAACCATTTTCTAGCATGTTTATGTATCATGCCTAACCTGATCAAACAGACAGAGGACAGTTGCTTGATTTAATACAGGATCCACATATTGCTCTTTAATGTAGGTGATCTGGGAAGTTCTCTAAAAAGCAAATACCTCTGCCTGAGCTAGAAGGACTGGCTGGTTAGGGAACTCAGCCACAGCAGGAGGAAAGCAAACCTACTGAGAGAGCTTCCTCCCTCCAGACATGCCAAAGGCAAGGCATCAATCAAAACCAACGGCCTGGTCAGGAAAATCACAGTTGGCAGTGTTGTCTTTGCATTTTTGCCAGCGTGAAAGGAGCACAAACTGGTATTTCCAAATCTAGCCATAGGAAACTAGAGAATGTTTCTTTGAGAGTCATTCTGTACTCACTAGCTGCAAAATGAAGAAACCTGAAAAAAAAAAGGTGGGGAGGACAGGGGCAAAAAAAAACCCCACTGGTGCCATAAAGGTTGTGAGTGTGGGCTCTCCCTGGGTAGCACACCACAGAAACTGGGAGGATGAAACAGAGTTTTAGGCAGCTACCAATCAATGTGGGTTTTTTGGGGTTTTTTTTCAGTTTTTGTAGTTTAATTTCTAGTTCTGTGAGAAGTTAGATACCATGTACTCTGTTGGAATAAACAGCATTTATTGTTTCCCTTATCTGCCTTATTGTTTTACTTTACCTGACTTCTGATGTATGGTCTGAAAATTTTTTTAAAAGCCCAGGGTGCCCTGGTCCTGCAGATTTGTCCATGGAGAGAACTTGTGAAATCCCAGAGTGCTGAAGTCCCAAGAGGACTTCTGAAGTCCTTGAAAGACTGAGATGCACCATTTCCATAAAGCTGTAGGAATTGCTCTGGAGGTTCAAACTAGGTGCCATTTCAGCACACAGAAATCCCCTTTGCCCAGTGCCTCTTCAGCAAGCAGAAAAAAATCCACATAATGACTGAGAACATTTCAGTGTATAACAGTGCCCTTGGACAGAGAATGCTCTTTGGCTCCATTAACTTCTCTGTACTCATCAATGCCCAGGTCTGATTTCACTTTGGTCTTTCATATCTTGAGAAGCAGCAAATACAGCAGCAATTTGTCCCAGTCAAAGAGATACAGAGTGAGAACACAACTGGAGACTGGAGCTCTGCAGTGCCCTCAAGACCACAATAGCCTTGGAAACCTTTTTCTTCAGATGGAGCCCAGCCTGGAGCAGCAGAGAGTGTAGAATTATTCCTGTTTCACATCATCACATGAAAAAGAAAGAGAAGTGAATATGCCAATTTTACTAGCCTGAGAATGAATCCAAGCGAGTATTTGTCCCACCATCTGGGGGAGATGATAGAGGTGAAGGAAGAGGGAATATGAGGGGGATGGTAAAAGTTGACAGAGACCTATTTTTCTGGAGGGATGCTTTACATTCCAGCAGCAAAAATGAAGGAAGTGGACATGAGAATTAGATCAGAGAGGGGAAGTAAGAAGATGGATGAAGTGCAAGACTGGAGGAGCAAACGAGTCAATTATGAAAAAGAGGAAGGAACTGTGTGCAGAAATCAACGAGGAGATGGAGCTCAGGGGAAGAAACAGCGGCCAAAATACTCTCAAATCAGAGAGGCTGTTGGGGTGAGAGAGACAGAAAAGAAAAGGAATATTTCAGGTAAAGATAAAATTGTAAACCCCTGTCTGCTGTATTTATTTGCATAGCTCTCTGTCACCAGCTCTATCCAGACATCACAGTATGGCCCTGCTACAGACCAAGACAGGACAAATCAGCTACATCAAAACTGCAAACTGTTGGTGTCCATTAGAGAAATCAGAAGCAACACAAGAAACTCAAGGCTAGAGAGCAAGAGGAGAAAACAATGGGACATGCCTGAAAACCAGACAAATAGATGAAGCAGAAATAAAGTTAAATGCCCATAAGGAACCACGAAACTTGGAGGCTCAGAAGAGAGCACCACTGAATGAGGGGGAAGGTCAGCAGTACATCAGTGACCTGAACTCCTGGAGGGAGGAATCTCAGGTTGATGATGCCAGATAGACTTTAAACCAAGTACTCTGCTTCCATTGCCCAGAAAAAGCAATGTTCTTTCTGCATGAATTCCAGAGCCCTTACAGGAACTCATCCTCACCTCAGCATTGTTTAAGGGCTGGCATGTCAGCAGAAGTGAGGGGTGAGGTGCAGAGTCCCTAACCCAGGCACAGAACTTTACTGCCCTGTAGGGAAAGTGCATTTATTCATAGCACAAACATCTTTGTCCTTTCTACCATGGGCAACTGGGTATTGCCTTATATCTTCTCCCTCCACAGTCTCCCTTCTGTTGGTCCTTTAGAACAGAAACACTTCAGAAAGCTAAAAATAAAGCTATATAAGCAATATAATAGGCATGCAATTGCATGTCTATTTTCTTTGAAAAAAAGATGCTTTATTTCCTGTTCAATGGAAAATATAGTTTGATGTTACAACTATTAGGTTTTGACTGAATGCAGAAATTTGACTGAAACAATGACACTCCCCCCTGTATTTACTATTACCATATGTCACTGATTATATATTTAAGTTGCAAAAATGAATTAAATTTCATGGCTTCCTCAAGCTAGATTCTCTTGGAATGGACTGTCTTTTGTTACTAATCAAAATGCTTGGAAAACAGTTTAAATCAAAACAGCAGACTTTTGGTATCATTTCAGGAGAAAACTGGTTATCACAAACCAAGTGCTTAACACATCATCATCCAGAAGGCTGGCTAAAGCCTTGCAAAGCTGCAGCCATCATGGCCAGCAGAGAGAAAGAGGGTTAATTGAACACCCACAGACTTAGAGATGGAAAAAGGAGAGGAAAAAAAAGACACTGTTTGAAGCTCTCTTGCCTGGGGTCTTATTCCTTCTGCTTCTGAAGTTATCATATATCCCACATCACAGTGCTTATTTCACTTACTTAAGGAAAGTATCTTCTCTAAGCTGGCTACAGAGAATTAGTGACAATCAGATTGCACATATATTCCAGGAGAAGCCAGCCTTGTCCTTGCTAGATTTCCTCCTGCTTTCTGGGGAGAAAAAAGAAATCAGGTTTTTTGTTTTTTTTTTTACTCCTTCTGTTTCCCATCATGATTTGGATTGCTAACATTTCTATCCCCACTAGGAGTCCCTGGTGGCTCCTGGCCCTTTTCTAGAGGACCAGCGGACAGCAGAGCCCCTGGGCTCCCATCAACCAGGAAGGAAGTGAATTGCAACCCACAGCCTCCTGGACTCCGATTTCAGACCTTAAAGTTAAGGTGATGTAAAGAGACATTAGGAAACTCCCCATGTCCATGCTTCCCACCTCCTCCAGGTCCCATCTGGACCTGAACAGCCAGAGCTGGAAGAGGACAGAGGTGACTAGAGAAGTCACCACTGGCAGGCTGTGACACAAGAGGGATCTCAGTGGTGGCAGACATAGTGTAAAGCAGAACCTGAACAGTGCTGGTGAGTGGGAATCAGGCTGTCATTCCTAAGAGTTAGGGAAGAACAGGTAAAAGAAGTAGGATTCAGCATAAGAGAAGAAGGACAGCTATGCTGTGCTTGCTGAAGGACTCACCAGGCAGGATACAGCCAGGACAGGCCTCAGTGAGAACATTGCAAATTCATGTCATACTTTGCCAAAGACTCAATCAATTGAGCATGTGCTAAAGCTGAGTTTGTTTTGTCTTATTTGGAGCTTTGGAAGATATTTCCTATCTTGACTTATTGAACACACTCCAACCACACACCTGCAACTTCTGGAGTGCATCCTCTCAGCAAGAGGCTGGCTAGCACGTCGTCACTTATGCAGGGCAAATCCTACTGAAAGCACATCTGACCACAGCTTTCACACCAGTTTACTTTTACATGTAGCACATGTAAGTGAACATCTGGCAAGAACACAGCTATGTCCTGATGGAGAGGCAGTTCATAGCAACAGATGGTGTTTGATACTGCAGGACCAGAGAGGCTCTACCTTAAAGTGAGCATTATTTCTCTTCTGAGCTTTTGCACCCTCTGGCCACATCTTTTTCAGAGTGGAGCCACTGCCACTATGGATTTGCAGTCCCCTCAAGAACAAAGACACTCTCAGCCTGCAGGTCATTGCCTAGTCCTAACATCCAGGTGATTTTGCTCCCATTGAGGTATGTCAGAGCATGAAGCAGGGTGCTGATGCAACCATTATATAGTACTTCAGTATAACATGAGCTTAGCAATGCCCTGAACCAGACAGTGCCTCCAGTGCAGGAGGAAATTTCCTCTCCAAGCACAGTAGCTCTGCCTGCAGGCACACAAGCAGCACCGGTAGTTAGCAATCTAACAAGCAACATCTGCTGCCTATTTGGGGGCAAAGGATGGAAAAGCCAGCAAAGGGTAGCCTACAGATCCAGCTCCTCAAGACTGAGATTTTCATGCTAAAGGGAAAAGATTTCAGAAGAGAAAATCCAGCATCAAAACCGGGTGGCTGTGACTCTGGATGATACAAGATGTGACTAACTGCTTCTGCAGCTTTACACAGTTAGTGTCCGTGATACTTTTTTTTTTTTTTTTTTTTTTTTTTTTTTTTTTTTTTTTTTTTTTTTTTTTTTTTTTTTTTTTTTTTTTTTTTTTTTCCTTATCTTAATTTTGCCAGTAAAAGTGCAGCGAGAGATTGCCACCTTGTGGTTTCTTCTCCTGCAGTGCCATGTTTTTTTTCCCACATGTTCCAGGCT